GGCTTCAAAGTCAAGGCAGCTGTTTGAATTGGTTTATGCCAGGGCAAGCAGCTTGGCAATTCAGATACTGTAAATATTTATCCAAAAAGTAATTGTTGCCATTATATCATGCAGGCAAGTAGCAAAATGACTGCATCATGGTAACACCAGGGCCCAGCTGTACTCATTAGCAAAACCACAGAGGAACGGAATTCTATAATTCCATAACAAATTGTAGAATTCTTTCTTCCTTGCATTTGCAGAATATGAGATTTTGGAGCTACGAGGAAAAAAATAAATTCATAAATCAATGAAATATTGGACTGTGTAGTTTCTCCAAGGACAAATTAAAAAAAAAAAATCAGTCCATGTAATGTCCATCATCTAATGCTTGGAGCCAACTACTCTGAAATGGAAAGTCACTAAAAGAAACACCAAGGCCCTACATTTAAGCAAACATGTCAAATATACATATCTTTAAAATTTTGTTATGACAATGCCAAGGTGTTTTCCTGAACTGTTGAAAAAAAACTACAGCAAATATTTACTTTTTTACAATTCATATATTTTCCTTATCCACTATTACTGTTGTTGCCTGTTTATCTCCAAATGCTCTGAAGTTAACAAGTTTTGAAGTACAAAAAAAAAAAAAGGCATATAAAAAAAGCACAGTAATTCAGGCTATACGTATATTTTATCTTTTTTTTTCTTCCAATTTCCAATAGAATGATGAGCATGTTCTATAAAGTATGCACTTATCACTAGATTTGACAAAGCCAGAAAATCCCCAGACCTTTAATACTGCAGCTGCAATTCTGGTTTTGGAGTCCTAGTCCGTCAGATGTCTAAATATGTGTATCCTCCACATATGTAATAAATTGCAAATATTTACAAAAGTGTATTTGCAGGTGGTTGAGCTTTGGATCCTTTTACAAATTCTAGCCATAAAAATTTAAAAGCAGATTATATATTTTGCCAAAATGCCTTACAGTTTCATTCTAACATGCTAAGAATACCGTGGCCTGAAACTGCAAGGAACAAAAAACTTAACACAGACAGACACACACAAAACAGAAAATGTATACTTACAGCGGAAATATCAGTGATACCATAACGTTATACATTAAATTCCAAGAGGTAAAGGAGTAAGAGTGTTTTGTATCATCAACATAGAATGGGCCATTACCTTAAAGTGTTTTTATACTTCTCTTCCTACAATAATGCAGTTGATGTGCTAGAAATTAAGGAAATGCCAATGGTTCATAAAACCTGTTCTACCATCTTTTCTAAACCTGTATATATGTCTAACCTTGCTTTCTTATATCAGGAATAGAGTGCCAAGAATACTTCTTTTTCTAAAAAACAATTAGGTACCGATAATTTGGAAACTTATTAAGATACATGGAGTAGAAAACGAGACTGAATATTTGCTCAGGTGTAACTCAATCCCCATTCACATCAAGTGTAACTTTCAGAAAACTCCCTAGGAACACAAGAGGATCTGTACACAGATTTCAGTTGCAAAAGCTTTTTAATATACAAGAGGCATCTGAAGGACTACTACAGTGCGTTATGCTGCACTTGAATATATTTATCTGCTTTCTGGCTCAAGGAAAAAGAAAGCCAAACCCTCACATCAAAATGTCGCTTGTAATCCAGTGCAAACTCATTTTACCTGCACGTGTATCCACTACAATTTCCGGTTTTTACTTTATTGCAGTAGGGATGGGATGACCTCCAGAGGACAAAAGAAAAATCAATCTAATGGGCATGGTACAGGTTGGAGTAGGCCAATTTAATAAAAAATAAATAAATCACAGTTTGAAAATCCGTGATGACCGCTTCAATGGAAAAAAAAAACTGAATGGGGAAAGAAATGGGAGAGAAAATATAATTAATGTTATTGATGAACCAGTGAGAGAACTACAGTGTACAACTTACTCGTGTGACTGGCTATTAGCAGTAAATACCAGTTGTATACAACTTAATGTTGCAACACTGGGATCTCATCAACGGTGAAGAACCATCAGCCAGTGGAACTGTTGGTTTCCCAAGCACTAAAGCCACAGACACAGCAGCACAGAAACAAGACTCTGAATTTAGCAAAGAACCCATTAGAGTAGATTAATGAGTTAAATATATGTTTTAGTGTTCACCTCCCTACTTAATTTGAGAATTATTGGTTTCGGGGATGGACTGACAGGCATTTTTCACATTTGCATGACACCTGAAATACATTTTGATAAACATTACTATATTCACACTTGAAGAAATGTAAGGGTATATTTTGCTAGTCCTTTCCCTGTAAGATTTATGCATTTTTGGAAGTGCTATCAATAACATCCCCCCAAAATACAAACCATTTGTGGTAGTAAGGCTGTGCTTGTCATGAAGCAAGTATATTTTTCACAGTCTGGTTCAAGACGGCTTCTACTCTGTAACTACAAGAAAGTGCTAGTGACGTTATATTTTAAATAATGTCTATTGTCAGAGTTGAGAACAGTGTGGAAAATGTACTCTAAGTGACTAAAAGGCAATTCTGTTTGCACGGAAAGCCTATGTAGAGTTGAAACTCTAGACAAGTTTGAGAGTTACGTGTCATTACGACTGGGCCATGTTGCCTTGGTGTGTACGGGCACAACAGTAGTTCTAACCCAGTGTCTAGTCTGATAAAACACACAAAACCCACTGAAGACATACTGCCCTTTCGGCACACTGGAAAAGCAAAACAGACTGACTGGCTGATTCCCAAAGCTAGTGGAAAATCAGACATAATATCAGACAATGACACAGATGTGTATTATAGGATGGTAGCAACAACTTTTACCACCTGATCTTCTAATTTAAAAAAGACATTAAAAAATACTCAGACTTGTAGATCAGCACTATGTAAGGAGTACACAACACAAAGCATTGACAGGAGACCCGTTTATCACTTATGGGAGCAGGAGTAAAACTCCAGCCCTAGAGAAGACACCTATTTGTCTCAGATACCAACACTGGATTATAAAGAATACTACAATTAATAGATTCTGAACTGTTCCAAGCTTTATGTCACTTTCTCAGCTTCACTAGAAAAGCAATACTGTTAAACCAAGACAACGAAAATAAAGATAAAGCTCTGCTGAAAGTGGACGCTTAAATGTGGAAGCTCTGACTCCGAGCAAGCGCCTGGTGTTGCAATCACTGAAACCAGTTTAAAGAGAGGCCTGTGCAGGACGAGGGCTCAAGCCTATAGCTACTCACCAAAATAACCTGCACCTTTTTCCTCAAGCATGAGCAACCCAGAAGCACCCAAAGAACTCATACCTGGTCACAGAAGATACTCTTTACAATAGAGTTGTTGTATGTATGTACTGGAAGCTGCTAGACACTAACCCTTCATAAAACTTGAATTTAACCATTGTCTGAAATTAATTTTTCCAGCTTAAACTATGTATGTATATTATATATTTTATCCGTTTTATATAGCTCCATATATATTTGAGCTATGGGAAAATGGCTTTTAGAAGGTTCTAAATGAAATTTTAGAAGTATGAGGATATTTACAGTGTAGCACTCAATCATAATTGTCTGGCCAGAATAATCAGTGATGTGCAAGTTCCTTTGCAAGTTATCCTCTAGAAGTCTACAGGTAATTTTTTTACATACTAAGTAGTGAGAAATTAATGTATTTATTTCACAGACAGGAAAGTGAGATCCTTTGGTTAGCTAGCCTGAGACTGAACTGCAAATTCTGTTAATAGCATCTATGCCAATATTGCAATGTCAGTATAGGCTTATATGAGGTTTTATGTTTTTTGCAATCAATTTCCATTTGTATAACTCTTGCCAATACAAAGTAAAATAAACAAACAAAAGCCTTATTCACATTTTACAACAGATGACCAGAAGACAGAACTGGAAGGGAAATGGAGGTCGTCAGTCCAGCACTCTGACCACAGCCAGAGCTCTAACATACCAAAATGCCTCCTGGCTAATGTTTTTGTCTCACTGGTTTGTTTTTTTTTAAACTCCTAGGATGGAAAATATTTAAAATCTTCCCAGATGATCTATTTTCCTAGCTGCATTGTCTTTGCTACATGTATTACACAAACAAGCAAATGCATTTTCACAGGTGAGGAAATGGAGACAAGATAGTGACATGACTTGTTTGCTGTCACACGTAAGACTGGCAGATACAGGAATCGAACAGCTTATTCTCAAACTATCTTATTGCATCATGCTGTGCCCCACGATCTTCCTCCTGAAACATTCTAAAGTCCCTTGCATATTATAGGTTGCTTGTACCCACTACTAATGTGCAGTCATCTTTAGGGCGCAATACAGTATTGAAAAGCAGTTCAATGCTGCTTTCTGCGACAGAAGAAAAAGATTATTCTGTATCATCTGGAGGGAAAACAAAATATAAGTAGGAAAACATAACTACTCCAGTAGTCCAGAATTTAATCGGAACAGTAGAGATGACCAACAATCTTTAAAGTTACAGTACTCTTGTTAATCTAAAGGGTTAAAAAAATAACAGTAATTTGAAAGATAGCTCTCTAAGTGCTCTTAACACAACGCATGTTGAATTAGCACCAACTTGGATAATCCTGTCATCTGTTGAAGTGCCACCACAGTTCCTTCAATATCTGCAGCATTCTTGGAATTTCACAAAAAGTAAGAGGCTCAGTTCTGTTTAGCTTGTGATACACACCTAGCCTACACCCAAAAGTGGGGTAAGAGTAGCTTCACTGCTTCAACACATTTAGTGTGTAGTCTAGGCAACATAAAGGAAAGCAAACTATAAATAAAGAGGTACATAAATTCTTAAACTAGATAGAGCTGTAGGGGAGAGAAGAGATGGGACTTGCCTTCAAGATGCTACTCCCTCTCTCCTCTATTTCAAGAGATTAATAAAGATATTACAAGGAAGGGAAGCGAGGGAAAGGGAGAAGTTTGAAAGACAAAGGAAGGAAATTAAGTACCTGTAATTTGTCAGAGACAAAGCAGAAAGTTTGTGTGCACATGCGAACAGGTTATGCTGTTAGCACATTCCAGTGATAAGTTATATACATCAAGACTATAAAAAGTATGTGGAAAAGACAAAAGCCTATTAGATCCCAGGAGCGAAAGGCAGAAGTTGATTGTGGGGTTTTCTCCCCGAGGGCGAGCAGAGTGTCAACAGTCTTTCGAATGTGACGAATATCCGACTGCAGGATGTCATACGGAGAGCAGAGGTCAGCCTATCCCGAAGGGCAGCCATTAGAACAGAAAAAAACAGTGCATAAAATTAAAAAGGCAAAAATAGAATGATATTGATAAATAAATCATCACAATATTCTAGCATAAACATGTAGGAATACTTTCTTCCTGGTATTGCCTTAGTCACTAGACATCCCAGCTTTATTTCCTCTAAATTCTGAAGCTATCATATAATATCAGAATGTTAAGACAGAAGAGTTCAGGCCTTCAAATCCTTCCAAAATTATGCCCAGATTCACAAGGGTGAGAAGGCGCACATGATCCAATTATTCCAGTCTGATCTGAACACCTTTGTCCATCTGGGCCTTATTCCAATGCTTAAATGGAACCAGTTATAAAGTCTAACTTTTATAATAGCAAACGGTGGGTTAGAAAGCCTTTAAAAGCACAAGCAGCAGCAGTATGAAGTCTCAAGAAAAAGTACTTAAAGAAACTGTTAGAAGTATGCAAAATTCTCTAACATAATAACCTAAAACTTGGTATTCAAATATAATCTTAAAAGATACCCTGGTATGGCAACAGAAAAAGTCAACACAGCACTAACTATACTTAATTTAATAAAGTTTCTAAACTGAAGAATATGATAGTAAATTGTCTAGGTAGCATTTTAAGTTATTAGCAGGTTAGACTCCTATACTTTTTTTTTTAAGTATCAACGACTTTGTGTAGCAGTTTACTCTAGACTACCTGTACAAAATGAAGTGTAATATGCAATAATATCAATATGCACACACAATATTTGACATTACAATCAAATCAGTGCTTTCAAAATGCAATCTAAGATATATCACTTTACATTGTAAATGAGGCCATACTATCAATAAAGATGGTGAATACTTACTGCATAAAATTTATACGAAGTAAGTAAAAGACCCTGTTTCAGAGGAACACTATGTTTTCCTTTAGTAGCTTTTCAGCCTTGCTTAATGAACTGACAGTACACCCAATAAATGGAGACACGGAAGTTCAAATGTCTGTTTTCTGATAGTGCAAAATTTCAAGGCATAGATGGCAATAACTTAAACTTTAAAATATCTAAAAGGCCCTTCTATCCTGAAAAGTGACTAGTGAAAATCTAGTCACTAGCATGACTAGTGAAGCTAGAACTATCACTCAAATGCAAGGAAAAAAGTGATATTTCTTTTCTCTTACCACAACTAGTTATAGTTTTAATCAGACTCAAAAGCTCTAAAATTTTAGTTTTGTTACTTAGGCCAGCAGATACACGAAGGGCGGAAAACCACTCTGCCTAGCAACAACACTGCTATTTTTACAGTCTTTCTTCAGAATTTTTTCAGCTCAAAATCCTAGTGCAATAATAAACTTCAGTGCAATTCTATTTGTCTGTTTCTCAAGGAGGAAAACCCACACACAGAACAGAACATGCTGATTTTATTCAAAAATGGGATAGGACTAGTACTGTATTTGAGACCACCTACATTCACATCGCTGCTTACCAGAGAAACTAGATTAAGGGCAAACAAACTACTCATGACTATCAACTATGTAATATATTACACTTTTATCAAAGACACCTACGAACCCAGCAAACGTTGGACTAATTTTAAAATAGCATACAAGACTTGATTCCTAATTGTGGCAAATACATCTCAAAAATAAATATCCAAGCTAAACTGAACTTGAATTTATATAAAAAAATGACAGGACCTTAAAGCAAGAACTATTATTATTTTTGTTCAAAAAAACATCCCTGCAGTCAAACGGAGAAGAAAATAATTTCAGAGCTAGAGAAAGAGAGCTGGTAATAGTACTTGCTAACCAGAGATTAGCATACTAAGAAGTATGGAGAACATACAGGAGAAGCCAAAGCATACAAAACCAGCCAACACATGCAGAAGAAACTTCCTACGGGAACTGCCATGCTGTGCTTTAGTGAAATTCAGTGAAACCTGGGAAAGCCTGGAGATATCTCAGAATCACAGAATGTCAGGGGTTGGAAGGGACCTTGAAAGATCATCTAGTCCAATCCCCCTGCCAGAGCAGCATCACCTGTCTGGACATTTTTGCTCATTTTTGTGTGTTCTGTGACAGTGAATAATTTGGTGTTAACATTCACACCTTTTTAAGTAAAATGTTTATTTTGCACCTATTTTAAACTTCTGTGATGTAGGTCTAGATTAAAAAAAAAAAAAAATAGCTTTTCAGTAATGGTGAACAAGTAATTCCACTTAAGTTACTAGAATTTTACAGATGCTGTGAAATGAAAATACCACACTAAAACATGAACAGCATGAAATAGTGAAAAAGTACATGACCTCCACTGCAAATCTCAAAGACAACCAACCAACTGCCCATCGCAAGCACTGCCCTTCTCATCTAGGAGGCTAAAATTATTGCTATGAAGAACTAGAAAGACATACATATATATACTTAATCATTACATTTATGGGCCAACTTTTTTTGTCTGTGAAGCTACATGAGTAAATCGTGCAGCTGCCAAAATCATGCACAAGGAATAGACATGGTAAGACAGAAGTGGAACGACAGAAGCGTAACCGGCTGCTTTGTGTGCACAAACCACCCTCACTCTGCATGCCCCTGCAGTGCCTGTGAAAACAGAGAGCACTTCAAAACCAACCTCCTCAACTTTCAACTTGGGTAGAAAAAGGCACAAGTGAGTTTGCAGAAGCGTGCTAAAGAATGAAGTCTGTAGGGAGTATGCACTCTACTCAAAAAACGCACAAACGAAAGGAGTCTCAGAGCGATGCTTTCAGGGCTTTAACCGGCAGCTCCACTCCACGCTGTTGGTCGAGGACGTTAAATGAGCCCAGAACAAAACGGTGGAGGAAAGAAGTCGTACCTGATAAAACTTACTGCAGCTTCAAGGATGTCTCATGGCGAAACTACGGAGAAGTAACTGATTATGTGAATTGATCAAAAAACAGGTGTAAGTGGCAGTGAAAATACACCTTGCGTTAAACTGAGAAATATAGTTACATCTTCTATCCACCTATTAATTAAAACACTCGACACTATTGGTTGCTTCTTTCACTTTGCTTTGCCAGTTTTAGCACACAAAAGCCTCCTTTTCTTTCTGTTTGCTTTACTTAATGAGCAATGTCCAGACTAACGCAAATCGTATTGATTTTTAGAATAAATCTGGCTGATGTTGCAACACAATGGACCGAATTTTCAGAGGGGGAGGTGAGACACAGTAATAGCTCTTGTTCACAGGAGTCAAAAGTCCCAGGAAGGGGCACAGCAAAGCCTTTTGGATTCTGATCTTCATCTGACAACTTGAGATCCAAAGAGCCATTTCCTACCATCACAATCCTTTCTGTTCAGCATGTGTACAAGTAGCTGACTGAAGTTTTGATGCCTTAACCCTACCTTGTCCCACTAAATCATGCTGCACCTCTACTGACATGCTGGAAACACAGAAGCTCGATGTAACAGAACCTGCTGTAACAACTGGCTGTGGAAGATTTCATTTTATCATTACCTTCTGTCAACAAAAGTTACCATTTTAGTAATTATCATGATAACTTAAGTCTTTTTTTTTCAAGCTATATGAAGACTGACAATGTGTGCCTGTGTATGTGGGAAAAGTATTTTTTTTTTATTTTTTAAATAACTATCTCTGACCTGAAGAGGGTTCATAAAGGCACAAAAGATGCTCAAGTGCCTAAACTGCTGAGATATTACACTAACGTAAGTTGCGAATCTTGAAAATTAGTGTCTTCATAAAAAGAACTTCTGCATTTTGGCACACAAACGCTGGAAACACTTTCTTCAATTTCTTTCTTGACAAAATGCTTAGAAGCTCCTACTTCTAATACACCATGTTTGTTCAGAATTGAGAACTAGAAGAAATGTAGACCAAAACTTCTAACTTTTGCCTTTCAAATAACATATTGCATTTACAGCTTTGTTCTAGTCTAAATCTCACTTGTAATAAAGCATCATTCAGCCCACCACAAATCAGTTTTGTTTTTCCTTTTGATGAGAGTATTTGTTAACATTATGGAAAGAATAAGAAAGCATAAGAAAAAAATGCTCTGTAATACAGATTACCAAGAATAACAGCTACCAAGAATGAAAGCTAAGGCTTAATTGAGTTATTGATTTGCAAGTTAAAATGGGAAAGTCTACTTCCTTAGAATCAGCATTCATAGTAGTACCACTCATAGTAGTACTATTCATACTAGTAGCACTACTAGTACTCATACTAGTAGCAATGTGGCAACTGAGAAGTTGAATAAAGGTATACTAATATTTTTGTTTTTATGAAAGAGCAGTTGAAACCAAAATACTCCCACAAATTCACATACTCATGGAATACTCATGGAATAATAATTCAGACTCTCTTTATCATTTTTAATACCTCTGGGATGTCACTAAAAAGTGTAAAACTGCCTTAGAACTGGTACATTTGAAACTTTGGAGGACCAAAGAAAAAATAAATTAAAAAAAAGCTTTATTTTTTATACTCAGGAAGTGTGAGAGGGTGGGTGCAATATAGGTGGACTGGGAAAGCACCCCCTGTGATGTCAGTAGTGGGTTCTTATGACATTAAAAACCTACTCTGGTGAATGGCACCATCCAAATATTGCCCATGATTCTGAAAAACTGCAGTAGGACAGGTATCCCCTACTTATTTATCACACATCTACTGCCACTTGCTCATTCAAACCTGTATCAGCCAAAACGTAGGGGTGTTCATCATTCTATTGCTATTTCAGAAGGGATGAGGCAATTACACAAGTTTTTTTCATTAATAGTGTAAAACAAAGTCTTCTTTTGTACTTTTCTAAGGGACAAAGATTGCACCTTTTCTGTCATATACCTCCTGAGGGGCACGACAGACAGTTTTGGAACCTTCAGGCTTTCACATGCTTACCTGTCACCATCCCTTTCTCACATCAAACCAAAATTTTAGGTTGTCTCAAAAAAAAGGATCACTTACAAACATCTTTGATAAGGATCTACAGAAAAAGTTAGCACCAAAGTTGGACACAAGTCGATTGTCCTGCAATTCTCACAGTTTTGATAGCCCGTCAGTGCAGTATGAGCCTTGCTATTTAGTTTCTTATTAAAGGGTCAGAACCATAGGTTTACGCACACCTTCTGCATGTGATCCAGCACATCCCTTCTGCAGGTGGAGCATCATATGACCATTAACAGGAAGTAATTTCAACATGTCACCCACTCTCACCTGGCAGGTACTGGCTTTCAGAGTCATCTAAGTACCAGGGTGTTATAAAGAGATGCTCACGAGTCTGAATTTTGTGATTCTTTGGTCAAGATGCCAACTCCTGATACTCGTTATGACGCATTTGGATACGGATGTCAATTGCATTTTTCTACGCTTGGATGAAGCTTCCCAGGATTGTTCTGGGGAAAGTAATTTTAACCCAATGATTGAATGTTGAAAGTCACAGAAGTTAGAGACCGTGCACATCAACACAGCACAGTGATTACTTTGCCATTTTCTTGGTTTCAGTTTACATTATTTGACAGGTTATTATTCTAAACCTGTGGAGTTCAGGAAATACCATGTACTCTATTCTGTTCCATAAATAACTGAAAACAAACCAACAGGAACTACGACGATTTTCAATCCTTAAAAAAACACGCAGCAGATTTCATGTTAAATCTCAGGAACTAAACATAGACAGTAAACAGTACCACAGAAAAGCCTAATACCTACGGGAGTTAGGAACCATAAGTAGAACCTATCGCCTTCCCATAAGATGTTTATTTTAAAAAGGAAATAATTCACTGACATCTTTCCACTGGTTTACGCAGAAGTAGAAAAGAATATATTCAGCGTACTTATTTTAATAAAAAAATATTCTACTATATTCTACACTAATTTGTATGGAACCATTAAAGAGGAGGGGTTATAAATATCTAAAAATGTCTATTCACTGAAAACAAAAAGGTATTTATCCAGAAAGCTTACTTACAGGAATCAAAATTAAATAATACTTTGAGTAAAGATAGCTTACACATCTGTAACATGACACTGGAAGAACGTTTGTAAATATTTCTGGTTTATTGCCTTTTCTGAAAGATCTCTTGACAACAATGAATACAGGTCTTGGCCTTTTCTATGCCAAAAGGCTATACTCAGAAAAACCTGACTTGTGTTTTAATTCATTGAATAATTTATGAGCAGAAGACAATGAATTCTGGAGCAATTTTACAAACACACTCCATGTCTACAAGCCCACAGCACTGAGATTCTGATCATCCTTGCAGTGAAATTTTAACTTTCATATGAAATCATTCTAACATAATGAATAACATACTCACAAGAACTAAATCAACCCTTACAACTTAAGAGTCCCACCTCACTACACTGAATTTTCAAATTAAATTTATGAACCACCACTTCTTGGAGCTGTAAGATAAAAGCCTCTTCCTCAAAATTCCCACGAATAGCAAAAGCGATCTGATATTTTTGCTGCCTTCCAAATCATGTGTTAAAATATACATCAAATATAAATAATTCAAACTGGAATTATTTCCCTGTGCGAAATCTCTGCATTATGATCTGTTCCCCAAGGGAGTGGTGAGGGAGATACATACAAAATATCCTTTTGTTTCAGCATTCTTGAATCACAGGCTAAAAAGAACTGGGGTTTCATTTTACCGTTAGGTTTAGGCAACAGCGAAAATACATCACGCAATTTTGATGTATTCAGATTACAAAGACCTTGGGTAACACTTTTACTTTCTTTTGAGGGTCATGTATTTCACTTTTTCTTAATATGTACTTCTAGATCGTATGGGAGTCTTTGAAATATTCCCAATACAACTCCAGAATTCATTACATTAGTTATAAAGATATTTTTCCTTATTATTATGAGAAGAAATTACATGATGAATACCGCAATTCTTAAATCACAAGCAGAAAATATGAAGCACCATAATTTCCCTATTTCCAACCATTTCCCTATTTCCAACTTCTGAAACGCTTTTATCTATATTACGGAACCTTACTCACACATACTTTCCATACTCCACACACAGAATATGGTTTTCTTCATATCACTGCAGAAGTATTTCAGTATAAGAGATGAGTGTGTTAGTCACTTTTACAATGCATACAACAGAGTAGTTAATATTGATAAAAAATAAAGAAAATGAATAAATAAAATGAAGTTCATATTTGAAAAGCACTAAGTAAATAATTTCTGCTGTAGAATGAAAACAAATAGTGAACTTTTGCCTAATAATGTACTACCTAATTACTATATCCTTACTTATTTTCCATGGTAAAGATAACAAGATATCGGGGATAATACTGAATTACTAATTTAAGACAAAAGTAGTAAATTTTAAGAGCTATGACATGAGTTGCTTAAACGCACTATAGTATTAAATCACATTACTTAGATACATTTTTAAGTATATGTCTTTTATTGCTGAAAAACTATAGTAAATAAAGTTATTCTTCATCTTTAACGTAATTGATGTGTTTTGCATTTTTGATCATCTAGAAATGACAGACTTAATTAAATTACCTCTGGTATCCCCAGTTTTCTACATGCATCCAGAAAATTTTCCACGTTTCTCCTGCATTTGGCCATGCTAAGTTTAGGCTGTAAAACCAAGAAAAAGTAGTTTATGGCAAAAAGAAATAAAAAATATTAATTCAGCCAATTCAGCTATTGCATTGTTCTTGTCCTGATGCACCATTTCCATATTTGTCCTGAAAATAAGGCATAAAATTCAGCTGAACTTTTTTTTCTACTACACTCAAAACATCATGCCTACAAATACAATCTGACTACATAAGTTTTGGCTGCCATGTGTGTCATCAGCACCTTTAGGTCTTTACCTGTGAGGTTCTAAAACCTGCCTCTTAGGATGTTTTGTGATAAACAACATTGATTTTCTGGACAGCAAGTAAATCTGTGAAGACTTTCAACACACATAATGGAGAACAGACTTATGTAATTAACAGGCTCTTTTTAATTATTTTTTTTATGTACTCACAAATGTCTAGTAACAATACACAATTTTAATGTCTCTGATACTGTAGAATTTCAATTACTTCCATAATTTGTCTCAGTCTGGACTATGCACCAGATACTTACAGAAATGTTACTAAAACCCCTCCCCCAAACAACTCTCTATTTTACTTTTTCAATGCAAGATGCAAAACAATGGTAATTCCTGAATATCCACTTATACCAAGAACACACTATAGTTGCAGTGACTTTAAAGAACTGATTTCCTAGGCTAAAGGAATTTGAATTATGGAATCATGGAATGTGTTGGGATGGAAACGACCTTTAAAGGTCATCTAGTCATCTTTCACTAGATCAGTTGCTCATAGCCCCATCAAGCCTCACCTTGAATGTGTCCAGGGATGGAATTTCCACCACCTCTCTGAGCAACCTGTGCCAGTGTCTCACCACTCTCATTGTAAGGAACTTCTTCCTAATATGTAATCTAACTCTACCCTCCTGTAGTTTAAAACCATTGCCCCTTGTCCTGTTGCTACACACCCTTGTAAGCAGTCCCCCCCCAGCTTTCCTGTAGTCCCCTTCAGGCACTGGCAGGCCACTATAAGGTCTCCCCAGAGCCTTTTCTTCTCCAGGCTGAACAATCCCAACTCTCTCAGCCTGTCCTCACAGAGGTGCTCCAGCCCTCTGATCATCTTTGTGGCCTCCTCTGGACCTGCTCCTACATGTCCATGTCTTTCTTGTGCTGAGGGCTCCAGAGCTGGACACAGCATTGCAGGTGAGGTGTCACCAGAGCAGAGCAGAGGGGCAGAATCACCTCCCTCGACCTGGTGCCACGCTTCTTTTGATGCAGCCCAGGATGTGATTGGCCTTCTGGGCTGCAAGTGCGCATTGTTGGTTCAAAGTCTCTTTCAGGTAAGAGATCATCAATATAAAATTGAAACAAAATAAAAATGGGTTTAAAACATTTGGGGTTTGGAATAGAAAACACCAGGAGATTTTTACCTTTAGAAATCCAAACAAACCAGCAATGGAACTTAAATTTTTGCTCCAGAAATTCAAATTTGCATATTTGGCAGTTTAGTGCTTTTTACCAAAGAATCAAACAACAGCAAAAGAAACTCCACTACATCATCTGAAAAAATGTCTTAAGGTCTGTCTTCTTGAAAGTTTTTACAGATTGCCTCTGAAAGCCATAAGCTATTCTCAGAATCAAGTATTAGGCTGTACATGGCTATATTTATTAATGTGAACATTCAAAAAAACCCACCCCAAAATACCCCAAACAAAAAACAAGGCAGACAATCTCTAAACTAAAACCATATAAAAACTGCTTCAGAACCAGACTGGTTTCAGAAAGCTGAAGCAATGACTTCTCCAAGATAGAGAAACCACTAAGAAAATCAAGTATCAAGAAATGCACACACAGAGATTACACTGATTTTATGTCTTGACATCTTCAGGTCCTTAGGTTTGGCAAGCCAATATTAAATCATTACAGAGTGTGTTTCTGATCCATTCTGTATGAGACTAAAGGAATAATTTCTACATTTAGCCCAACAAGAAGAATATGCTAATAACTGCTGTAAGTACTTTAGCAACATAACATCTGTTAGGCTAGGCACTGCTGAAATTAATGCTAAAGTTAATATTGTCAGACATTGTTAGAGATTAATGGTTGGACTTGATGATCTTGAAGGTCTTTTCCAACCATAAGGATTCTACGATTAACCTCCTATTTTTTCACCCAACAAGCAAGGGGATAATTTTCTTTTTAAAAGGGTTTCCTTGATTAAAATATTGTAATCATATATTTTCTTACTGTACTGAAGAAAAAGAGCATTATGAAAAAGCATCTGATCAGTTGCTAGATCAGAGAGAGGCAGAACTTTTTTCTACATATATATATATATACCTAAATTTATGTACACGTGAATTTGTAATAACGTATATGTTGCCCCTAACAGCAAAGAACATTAACCAAACCTGTATGTAACCAAATATCATTCGGCCATACGACAGTAATTTTTTTTTTTACTATCTCTCCCCTACACTTCCACGCAAGAAGAAACTTTCAACTTACAACTGCTGGTGAAGGTACATGAATACTTCCTACAGATCGAGGGCGAACATGATTTACTAAGTGGCAGAGAACTACACCATCCATCAGAGCAGACCCCAAGTCTTCAGGCAAACAAATCTTTAGCCTTGTTTCAATGTTCTGCAAATGAAGAACAGAGGCATACTTTAATATAGAAATGGATGAAGGGGAAGAAAAGGGAATATACATCCTTACCTTCTCCTATGCTGTAGACACAGTAGCTAGTTTTGGTTTACCAAAAACACACTTCCTTTATATAATTCTTTAAAAAACAACCTCCTCTACCCTTTGTTGTTCATCGAGTTACGTAAACTTCTTTAAAAGAACTCGACGCTTCAAATGCTGCTGTTGTAATATGCACTTATTTTTATAGATGCATATAAAACACATGCATGAAAACAGCCACGTGATTGCACTACATGGACTCCTTCCTTTCATCATCCCCTAAATCTTCTACTTACCCATCTCAAATTTTCTTTAGCATCAGCACTTTGATTCAGAACTACATTGTGTTAATTACTGTACAAGCAGAGTTTCAGTAGCCTAAAACCTGATTAGGAAGCATTAGAGTGATAAGAAAGAGAATTTTTGGGTACTTGTTAAGTAGAATTCTTTTCAATGAGACTTTAGTTCCACATTACAAAATAAAATACTTTGAAAATATTTGAGAATTTTTCCAGGTTAAAAATAAATCAAAACACAACTGCAGTATGATTGTTACATATGATAAGTTTCCTAAACTGTGCTCTGATCTTGAAAACATTCCAACACTATACTTAGAGCTGTGCTTTAGATTAACTCTCAGAGGTAATTAATTCTATTATCTTAAAACAGGTATTTCTTATTCCTAGTTGAACCTCCTTAATGTCATTACTCTCTATTAATACATTACCTTAATCTACGCTGCGTGATTTAGACAAAAATAGATTATTCTCTTTAGAACCAAAGGAGAGTGTAGGTTGGAAAGAATTTCTGAAGGTCACCTGGCCTAACAAATTTCAAGTGAGATCAGAGCCTTGGTTAGTTAAGTTCTGAATATCTGCAAGGAAGGAGATCCCACAAAATGTCCAGGCAATGTTCTTCAGTGTTTCACCACTCTTACTGCAGAGAACTTTCTCCTTAAAGCTACTTGAAATCTCTTTCTCTGTGATATGTGCCACTGCCCCTCAGTCTTTCACTGTGCACCTTTGAAAATCCTGGCTTTATCTTCTCTACTATTACCCTTCAGGCAGCTGAGGATGGTCATATGATATACTCAGCACTCTCTTCTCCAAGCTAAAGAAATCCAGCTCTAAGTTTCTTCCTCGCATGTCCTTTGTTTGGGTGCCCTCACCATGAAGCAGCCACTACTGAATTCGCTATGGGGTTTCTTTATATTTTCCCAGTTTTTCTTTTACTAGACACACTATTCAGGTACTTGTATGTGTGGTTTCACAAATGCCAAACGGTAGAATTCACCACATGCACAAATACAATGCTTTGTTTTGTAACTGCATTAACTCATAAATTAAAAAACTTTTTTTGTATATACATATAGAAAGAATACATTTTGAGACTGTTTTCCAAATCTGCTACAGACAGGTTTATATAAATTAATAAATTCAAAATTCCTTCTCTTAAAACATTGATTTGCCTGTTGAAAGATTATTCAGTATAGATTGGGCTGCATTTTTTTTATGAGCACAGCGTACCTACAGCTCTAGTTCAAAGCCATTTCCTGTTGGAGTTCACAGTTTGAGACCAGATTTAATTAAAATCGAAGACTTCAAGAAGCAGATTAATTCTCTTTCAATTTTGTCATCACTGAAGAACCTCTCTTTTGCAAAAATGATCCACTCTACAGCAACACACAATCTGTTCTGCCTAGCATGTCAAAAGGATTGAGTATTCATCTTTAGAGTGACAAAAAAATCAACTAGCCTTTCTTGCTAGACTCTATTGCTCAAGTGTAAGTGCCAACTCACTCTCGAGACGATAACTCCCTGAAGTGACTGTGGATGTATACAAAATTAAATGGAGGAAAAACAAATATCTCTGATGCAAGTAGTTTTATGAAATGGAATAATTTCTGCCAAAACACACCATTCTAAAGAAAAAGGAGGAATGCATGGAAGAAGCACCAATGACCAATAGGCATCTCAAGTGAAACGGCTGAGCTCAAGGTAACTGTGGATTTAAATTTATAAATAAAGACCTGATACTGTAATAGCTGTTCCTTCTTGTTTAGTGCTCAACTTGGGTGCAGTTCAGGCTGCAGGTCCTGTGGAGTCTCATCAAATTCTAACATACCATGAAACAATACAAGAGCAAAATATATGAACAGATATGTGTATTCAGTAAGTATGAACTTAATGACTTGCATCTTCTGGGCTATTTTCTTTTACAGCACATAATGAGACAGTCTGGAGGTTACTTCTCTCACTAAAGGACCCAGTATACCAGCGCAAACTTTACCAGCTTGAAAAATCCCACTATGTGCTTCCAAACAGGGCCATCCTTGTAGTTTCTGTCCTTGACTTGTAGTCAAACTTCTCACAGGAGACACCAGAACTTTGATTTCAGGGCACAATGCGTCAGGGTCAAGGCAATAAAGGGCAGTGCATGGAGCTGAAGGTCAGTACCACATTAAACCATTATTACTGGTAATACCTAATACAGCGTAGAGAGATCCTCATTAAGTCCCCGTGATCATGCCTGATGTGATTAATAACCTTGATCTACTTTTCGCTGTGAGGATTATCTGCATTAACGCACAGGCAGGAACCCCGAGGACATGAGTTTTAGGAACAATTACTTAGGGACTTGCTACATTCTTGTAACTCAAAAAAAATATAAAAAGCTGTGCTAGTGCTGCTGATTAGACTATGCTCAGAACTGCATCCTAGTGCAGTTTATTATCACTACTTCCATTTCTTCTCCAGTACCAACAAGTCTGTCCCAGCTAATTCCTGCATCTTGTCCTTCTGGCATCACCCAAGTTTAGATCTGGCAATATGTTACATTCGATCAGCAACGTCAAAATCTTCGACAAGATCAGTTTTGTTCGAGAATTCAGTAAGGCAGAATAAGGTCAATCCAGACTTGAAATAGGTAAGGACATGAGGTAAGAGAATAAAGATCTGAAAGTCCTCAATAGTTCTATATTAAACAACTCACCTTTTAAATACTGTTTGACAAAGAGGAAAACAGTGAACCTGCTTGCTTTAAAATTAAATAATACATGACATGCTATTTAATATAAATGCATAATTTTGGAATTAGTCATTCCATGAAGCTAACAACATAAGAACAATCTTGTCATTTGTTTACAATATCGAAGTCCTGTCACACTTTCAGGATTTGTACTGTGTTCAAGAATGCAACAATACCATCTTTCCTGTCAGTAACATAATTGGAAACCTTCACAGATTCAGGCTCACAACACTCCTTGCAGCAAAGGTTGTGATTTTCTTTTGGATACAAATACATGTCACATAGTGATACCTAGGTACTAGCTATGTAATGAGCTCTAGTGTCTATATTCAAGACAATATGTTATAAAACTATCCTGTATATTCAGATCTTCACGTGATAAATATTCATTTAACTTCTAAGAAAGCTGTTTCAAGCATCAGTTATCTGCTTGGGAAAAAAAACCCCCACAAGTTTCTAACTTCAGCTTTAACGAATAGATTTCATAATGCTTTTTACTTAGTACACTGAAGATTTATCCAGCTGTTAGGAAATTGTTTCTAGACCTCTCAGTCTCTTAAGTGATCCTTTATCCTTTCTGATCAAATTGAAGAAATTGATCATTCCAGCAGTGCAAGGCATGCTATTTAACTGTATGTCATTCAGGTAACTCCCATTATTATTTCCCTTTTTCACAAAACCTTTCCTAAAGTACGGATATCTGACCATGATAAAGCACTTCAGGAACAGTCTCATCAATGTGATTTGCAAAAGTAATGTTGCCTCATTTAACCTTTTAAAAATTGTTCTACTTAAACAACTTACTCAAAGAAAATTTTAAAAATGCATTCCATTAGCACAAATTAATTCTACCAACACTCACATACCTCACGTAGCTGTTCCACAAGCTCTCTCTCTTCTCTCATCTGCTCCATTTTCCTTCGAATTGTAAACTGTGGGTCTATTGATTCCAAATTTCTTTGTGGTCTTAAGAACACTGTGATTTTAAAACAAGACAAATTTTAGTTTAGAAACAAACACCTTGATTTATTAACTTATAAATGAAGCAAAGTCCTTAGGCAATGCCTCCAGCAACAACTTAGAAAATTTCTCTGTCCTCAAGAGGATAGAAAACTTTGATCTTGGATTACCACTATAAATAGTTATTTTTTGGATATTGCTTTGAATGGCATCCTGCACCATCAACGGAATGGATAGTTTTTCAACTGAATGCTAACCTCAACAGGCAAGTTTTGTCAAACCATTAAGCATCGTCACCGTCCCTTAGAGATTCTGATCTGCACAACACTTTGTATGTACCATGGCAGGAAACACCTTTATTCTTTTAAGCAGAACCTTCTCCTACAAGATGCTGAATTGTGCAAGAAGTTGTGACAAGCATCTTCCTACACAGGACAAATTGCTTACTAGATAAGGTTATATTAAAAAAAAATAAATAAAAAATTACCCACTAAAGACAGACTAATGTAGGCAGACTTATCCATTCAGTAAATCTGCCTACATTCAACTGTCATATCGCAAAAGCAGCATCGCACGAACTCTCACAGCACTCCCTCCCACCAGTCCTGTCGACTGTATCACTTTGCCCACATACACTTCCTTGAAATAATTACATGAAATCTCTGCATATATGCACCTCCACACTTCTTTTTATTGGTACCAAGGACTGCTTTGAAAGTCTTGGAAGAACAAGAGGATGTATATTTAAAACATAACTGCCACCTGTTTGCCACTCAAATTATAGGCCAACTTGATTATTATGGAAAATTATACTGCTTAAAAGAAAGAAGTGTTTTATATCATTACTTTTGCACCTCTCTCCTCAATGCAACACGAAACTCTAAGTACCAATTAATGGGGTGGAAAGTACAAAGCCTAGAAACCTTTGTTTTTACATACAGCTACTGCTTAGTCTTAATTCTGTTCATTTAAGTTTGTTAAAGAAAGAATAATTTCTAGGTCAGTAAGTAACAAGACAGAAGAGAGGAGCCTTTTGTTTTCTAAAGGGCACATGAGAAAATTGGAAGCATATGAATTGCCAACAGCATCTACCAGAGGAGTAAAAAAAGATTAATTACTCTTGACTGTAAGAAAGACGCACATGAGTGTAATCACAGTAATTCTGATGTTCCATTAAAAATTGAGGGACATCAGTAATTTTATTTAGCTTGTAATTTGGGTAATAGGCTGAATTTTAATAACTAGTTCTCAAAACATATAACAAAGTCAGATATTGAACCTTCAGCAGAAGGAAATTTTGTGCACATTCTGACTTAAAGTAAACTGCTAATGAAGCTCCCAAATCAATGCAGGGTCAATATACAAAACTGTACCCTGTAACATCTAAGGCTTATATAAATCAGACACAGTTTCTGCACATGAAATATTTTAAAATCTTATGCAAACTTAGTCACTAGGAATCTCAGCTAACTGTAAGCAGGTTGCTTAAGTAACAAAATCAACAATCTAAGGTACTTCTCTAGCCAGAGGGACAGACAGATACCACCAATGGCAGTTTAACCAACATGCAGTAGTTCTTTCCCTTATTTACTAAAAAAATACCTTAAGGCAACAATCTCCTTACACAGCCTTAGGCTACTTATCTGAGGCATCAGGACAGAATAAGCTATGACCAGTTACCAGACTCTCTTCCTTCCACTACTTGACTCACACAGAGTCAGTTTTAACTTTTCACAGGCAACTAAAATTTGCTACATTGCTGTTAAATCAGTAATTTCAGGAAATGTCACATTAAAGCCTATTTATTAAACAAAACTGATTTTAAATAGAACACCTAAATATTTGAGTTTTATGTTAGTAAACTCTATCCTTTTTAACATCACCAGAAATCCCACTGGCAGAGCGGGAGAGCATCCTGCAGAGAGTCTGCAGGACTGAGAACTGCAGATATTGCCTGCAGCTGGGCTCCCTTTTCCAGGTGGACCGCATAGCTTCACCAGTGTTGCCACCCAGAAGGACCTGTACCCAGGTGCACACATCATAAATAAAAATATTCATTACACTGACCTCCCACATATAGTGTGAGAGTAGTAGAGCCATACCTCCAGATGCAATAGGACCACAGTTGTATCGACTTTTAATCCTTGCCTTTGCAGAAGACAAATGGCAAGCTTGGAATAGAACTCTATTTCCAAAGCACAGTGTCTCAACAGATACGTGCTTCTTAATATTTTGTAGAGAGGCATACAAACAACTATGACCGTACATACCCAGACATACAAAGGCTGTTAACAGCTCAAACTACTGTTGTTATGAAGTATAACAACCCGTACACCTGATTTAATTGCACCATTTCAAAAGCATTACCTACATTGGTACAATTCTGCTAGAAGAACTTAGATATGGCATAAATTAAACCGTTAGAAATATTTAAAATGTTACTTAACAGATCGCGTGGTAAATCATATAGCTTAGAATAGCTACAACAACAACAACAAAATCACGTCCCGAGTTTTCCAAGTGGAGAAACTCCTACCCAGGACTCATTGGAGGCTGCTCCTAAATCTTTAAGAGGTGAAATAAAAATCTCCTATCATATTTATTAAAAACTGTAGTTGCAATTCCTAAGATTTCCATTTTAGAAATAGCTCACTGTACAGCTCTAATAATTGAGGTTTGCTGCCTCTCACTGATGAAATACCTAGATAAAACCATACCTGAAGAGTAATACCACAGTTAAACGGTATTTAAATGCCACTGTAGCTTTATTAGCAGCAGCCACATTTCAAAGATTCTCTACGAAAGCTTTAGTCTCCGTATTTATGTTCCATTTTGCAAGAGTATTATCATGAACTTCAGTTTGGACACAGCCATCTTTAGCATTTACTAAATCAATATAAATGTCCTAAAAACTACTTCCTTCTGATTTCAGGCTCCAAAAATCTGTTAACAAAAAGTAAGTATCAACATTACTTATTCGGCTCCACTCACGAGCAAGAGAGACATTCCACAATGAAGAAATAGGCAGGCTAATCTCAAGGGAGTGGGAAACTACAATTAAAAGTTTCTAAATAAAATAAGTTTAACTGATTAATAGACTCACAAGCATTAGTTAGAGAAGTTTCAGTTATATACTGAATTTCAAGAAAAATGTTTCAATACAGGAAGTTTTGGCAGCCCCGAATGTTTCTTGCTTCTCTGCATTACACGCATTTTCCAGCAAGGGGAGCCCGTAACTCACACACACTCGAAGGTCTAATTTTTTCTATCTTTCCAATAGCACCTTTCTCCTTTCTGAATCCTTGGTCAACCAAAGTTATTATGTACTTATTCCAATAATTCTTTTTAAAAGTATTTTGTACAAGTCTCAACGACTTAAATCTGTAATAGTTAATAATGCAATAGGTATTTCACATATCACAGTCAAGGACAAACTTCCTTCTCAAAAATTTCATTTTTATACTGATTTACAATGCACAGAGCTGCACTATTTATAGCATGTCAAGGAATTTAGTGTCCTGAGTACTTAGTTTGACAACATTATCCTTCAGGTAAACAGCAAAAATATTTAAGCTGACTAAAAATAACAGACAAAAAGAAGGCTGGGCTAATGATGGGCAGAGATGAAGTCAGGCTAAAAGCTTACAGTTAGATTTCACTTTGATTGATTTATTCAATCCAAATTGAAGTAGCAGTGAAGTTATTACAGAGTCATTTTCTAAACGAACGTCTCCCCTTATAACTTCCCAGAAATTCTAGACTTGTCCTCCTCTATTACAAAGCTGTTGTCAGTTACACTGAAGAAGATGCCAAGTATTGAGATGGTACATTGACATAGAACATTTCTCTATCAAAGGCTACACCTATACCAGCGAGTCACACAGGGCTGGTGCATGGATCCTCAGCAAAGGCAGCTTTAACGCAGCCATCCTGTTTTGGAAAGTAAGAGTGCTTTCACACTGTGCCAACTAACCCCAGTGCCAGAGGACGGTCTCTGGTCCGTTTTACTTCCTACCATAGGAAGACAAATTTTAGCTAATAAACTCAGACCCAGGTAACAGGCTCTAAACAGAAAGGCAACTGGCCTGATTAATAAAAATAGTTGCCAAAGCATTTTTCTGTTGTAACAGCCCAAGGTGAGAAACACTAATATTTGCATTTGGCTTAAGATTTGACATCTGTCTGTTCCAAATGCACACGCTAGCCTGTACTGTTTGCTTCATCCAGAAGACTAAAACATTAACAATTCTAGATAAACAGAGATCAAACACTGGACTGATTGAAGCACCTTTAGCTTTTTCTGTTAGAACATTGACCAGTGAAACATCAAGTCAGCTTCACAGCATCAGATTTTAAGCTTACCATTACCACAATTCTTATATTCCGTACCAATTTCCTTTATGGAGCCGATTCCTTACATATGCTGTCTTCTGTGATTTTATAATCGAGAACAGTGAGTATTGTCAAGTAATGAACTGAATGTAGGTGTTCTAACTGTTGGCATTTATCACTCGAGATGTGTGGTCTTGGTTTCTATATGAGGCTTTTCAGAGTTTCATTGCCTTCCAATACTTAAACACTCTTCTAATCTAGGGCAACTAGAAGAACAACAGTCCAACTTTAACAAAAAAATACATCTTCCTATCAAGTACTTATAATGGTTTTATTGTCTATGTTCTGTTTCCTACACCTGACATTTAACTACAAATGTAGTAGATGACTCTGATAGCCCATACACGGCTGGTTTTGCTTATCAGTGCCAATATTCTGTGTACTATGACAATAACGCCTTGCAGAAAAACAAAGCAGAAGTAGTAACAACATCCACTAATGTAACTGGCCTTCACTACCCACAGAGGAGTTTGATAGCTTACTAACAGTTTCTGCTTAGCTGTTTCAGATTTCTTTCTTCAGAGATTCCTCTTTTAATTTAGTTATGCACCTGCATCAGTAACTGCAGGAGGGAGGCAGGATATTTTTATTATCAGTCAGTATTTATCAAAAAATATATTAAAA